GGAATTAATAGAGGGGTAAGACAAGGTGACCCCTATCTCCATATTTATTTGTAATAGTTATCGAATTACTAGCTCGTTATATTAGGAAAGATGAGAGCATTAAAGGGGTAGGATTCGGGAATAAAGAAATAAAGCAAGTTTTGTATGCAGATGATATTACATTGTTTTTAAAAGATATGGATTCAATTAATAAAGTGAAGGAAAAAATAAGTGGATTGAAGATAAATATGGATAAGACAAATTTTATGTGGTTAGGAGAGGAAAGTGATAGGCCGGGTTTACCCTTTTTTGGACATAGGGTACAACATATAAAGATCCTAGGGGTATATTTCGCACGTCATTCCAAAATAAAAGATGATTTGAACTATAAGGAAATTTTGAGCAAAATCAAAAGACTAATCGGTTGGTGGAAGCAACGAGATTTAACGATGTTTGGCAAAATTAAATTGTTGAAGATATATGTATTTTCAAAACTAAATTATGTTTCGTCTCTTATGACAGTCCCACAAAACATTTTTGAAGAAATCGAAAAGATTTCTTTTAATTTTATTTGGGGAGGGAGAGACAGAATAAAACGGAAAATATTATATCAAGATTACTGCGCTGGGGGACTCAGAGTAACGGATTTTAAGATATTTATCAAGACTCAGAGAATAATGTGGATCAAACGGTTGCTCTATGGAGAAAAGTATTCAGGTTGGAAAGTAACCTTTAACCACTTTTTCAGATCACTGGGGGGTCGAATTATATTTCTTTGTAATTATGATATAAATAAAATGGACTTGAAGGGTATACCATCTTTTTATAAAGACATGTTGAAGGCATGGCAAGAATTAGATAAATGCAGACACTTTGGAGAAAATAAGAATAATCCGATTATATTTAGCAATAAGTGTATATGTCTCAGCAATAAAACATTTTTTGATGTCGAACTATTTCAGAAAGGTATACTTCAAGCATCAGATATAATTGTCAGAGGTCATTTAAAACCGATCTTACATTTTTTAAATTTGGGTTTTGCAACTAAAAGCTTGCTTAGAATTCAAAAGATCTTTTCAGCAATCAGAAACGAATGGATACAAAGTGATTTTATGGAAGTGGACATTGAAAATTTTGAAATAGAATTGATGATATATGGACGTTTACAGAAACTATGTGATATAAAATCTAGGCGGTTATGATTACTTCATTGAAGACCTTCACAAAGAGTATACATTACATGTTACAGATGGCAACTGTCAATTTGATCTTGGAATGACGGAGTTGAAAGAAACATTCACAAGGATGAAAGGTGCAATGCTTTGTAATATACATAGAGAGTTTCAATACAAACAATTACAAGGGGCTGTATATACGAAAAGAGAGCTCTTTAAATTTGGTTTTGAGTCCGACCATTTTTGTTCCTTTTGTGGACTAGAAGTAGAGACATACCAACATTTATTTTTAGATTGTCTTAAAGTTAAAAGATTATGGCAGGAGGTAATTCAAAAGTTACATTTAATCGAAATTGACATTGATGATTGGAAACCCATATTTATGGGAATATCCGGAAATACTACTAGAATATTTGTAATAAATTGTATCATATTTTTAGTAAAGTATATCATTTTTATTTCTAGAAAAGAAGGAACTTTGCCATCTGTACAGAAAACAGTACATATGCTTAAAAATTACAGAGACGAGGAATACAAAATAGCCTTCAAAAAGGGGAAACTGGGGATGCACTTACAGAAATGGGAACAAATCGATGCATTTTTACCTTAATGGACGTGGGTATTATGTGGGTATTATTATTAGTAGTAGTATTATTAATTCTCTCTCGTGTACGGGTGGACAAACCGGAACAGGTTGCATGCAGCGTGTGTGTCGGCGTGAAGGGTGTGTGAGATGGGTGGGCTAGTGGGGGGGGGGGGGGGGGGGGGGGTGAAGAGTCTGTGTGATGTGAGTTGAGGGAACAGGTTGCATGCAGTGTGTGTTTGTGTTTGTATGGTTGTTTATGTGTGTGAAAGGGGGTGTGGTGTGGGTGGGCTAGAGGGGGGGGGGGGGGGGGGGGTGTGAGAGTGTTGTGATAGGATGGTAATATGTAACTTCAAACCTTCCTCTACTGTTATTTTGATTATACACTGATACATGCAAGACTTTTTTTTTTTCCCTTTTTTTTCCCTTTATGTTAATTGATTAATGTAACTTATGATATGTCTTGTATCAAAGAACTTGTTGTATATTGCTTATCTTGATAATTTCTTGTTATGTAAATTTCTTGCTATGTGAAATTATGAGGAAGGAAATAAAATATCATTTAAAACAAAAAAATCTACATTTTAAACCTTCCTCTACGGTTATTTTGATTATACACTGTTACATGCAAGAATTTTTTTTCCCTTATTTTTTTTCTATGTTCATTGATTGATGTAACTCATGAAATGTCTTGTATCAAAGATCTTGTTTTATATTGCTTAATTTTGATAATTTCTTGTTATGTGAATTTCTTGTTATGTGAAATTATGAGGAAGGAAATAAAATATCATTAAAAAAAAAAAAAAAAATATGAATATTTGGTGACAAAAGATGGCATTTCTATGTAGCGTCTAAAGCCGTCAAAAACAAAAACATTGCAGATAAAAAGATCCTCAGTACTGGGTCTAATAATTTAAAGAAAACTGAATTTGAACCCGGCCATATTCTGTCTCTCTCTCTCGCTCTCGTTTGTCATTGCCTTCATTTCCCCTCGCTTACTTCATTCTTGCCTCAATCATTGAGAATATACTCACTAACAACGATATATATAGATCATAACGGGAGAAGCATTTTATATAACGATATGAAATCGTGAAAATGCATTCTTCATTGTGTAAATCATTAGCATACGTATCACCTAATTCGTCAAAGTGACGAATTAAAGTCTAGTTTTTATTTTGTATTCATTAAACATTTTTTTCCTAAAAACATCCCACGGCTGTGGCGCTGATGCGGGGGGGGGGGGGGGGGCGCCACGTGACTCCGAATATTTGTAGAAAACATTTATTGAAAACATTGAAAACGTACATTTCTGAACCAAAAAAGATGAAGAAAAAAAGGCGTGCCCCAAATATGTACGTGAGCCATCATCCCAGTCCCCAACCCCCCGCCCCCGCCCCTTTAATGGTGTTGGCCCTCGGTTTAATGGTGATGGTTTGTTTGAGACTAGCATGCCTTTGCGTGGTTTCATTAATGAGATATATATCTAATCAAATCAGAATTAGTGATGTTATCGAGCATCTTACCAGTATCAAATTTCCAATTCCCTAAATAAACCTGTGAAACCTCGGTCTTCCGATACACAAAAGAAGTTTACTAAATTTGGCGCATGGTTTAATGATGTTGGCACTCGGTTTAATGGTGAAGGTTTGTTTGAGACTGGAATCCCTTTGCATGGTTTCATTAATTAGATTATCTCGGATCAAATTATATACCTTGTGATGTAATTGAGCATCTTACCAGTATTAAATTTCCATTTTCCTAAACAAACCCGGGAAACCTCGGTCTTTCGATACACAAAAGAAGATTACTAAATTTGGCGCATGGTTTAATGGTGTTGGCACTCGGTTTAATGGTGTTGGTTTGTTTGAGACTAGCATGCCTTTGCGTGGTTTCATTAATGAGATATATCTCGGATCAAATCATATACAAAGTGATGTACTCGAACATTATAGTATTACAATTTTCATTTTGCTAAATAAACCAGTGAAACCTCGGTATTTCGATATCCAAAAGAAGATCACTAAATTTGGGGGCATGGTTTAATGCTGCTGGCACTCGGTTTAATGGTGAAGATATGTTTGAGACTTATAGCCTTTAGATGGTTTCATTAATGAGATATATATCGAATCAAATCATATCGAGCAACTTACCAGTATTAAAATACATGAAACGCCTATTATTTTACTAAATATTGTGGCTGTCAACTATTCAAGCAACATGCAAGTAATATTTTGTAGGTGGGTTTAGGTAGGCCTAGGTAGGTAGGAACTGCATTGAACTGCTGGGTGCACATGTTTTCTTTTCTTCAGTTTTCTTTTTTCTACAAATCATCTTTTTGAAAGTTCCTTAGTATGAAGCCACGAAAGAGTAAACTATTATGAAAAAAAATACCTATTTGTTATTACAAAACTAGCTAGATTAGGGAGTGTAGTTGCTTTCAATTCTCTGTTCGTACTTGGCTTTACGGAGTAATTCGTCTTTTATAGCGATTCTCTTCATTCCGGCCGGAGCAACGTACATTGTGTATCACGCCGCACGTCTGTGACGTAGGGAATAATGAATATTCATGACTCCACTAAAGCTCGTGCCAATATATGCTACCGATCATAGGGGGGGGGGGGGGGGGGGGGGGGCTCCCAAATATAAATATATATTACGCTCTCGAGCGTAAAAAGTTCGCAAGATAGTATAGGTATTGCATGTCCGTGTGCTGCCCTCTGTATACCCGAAATTGAGCAACTTTATCGTCTGAAGTAATATACCAGTTCACAGTTAGCACATCTCTGCAATGACCCTGAGTATCCACAGATCTCCAAAAGATGAAGAGGTCCCACTTTGTACATTTTGAAATAATCACTCCTTACAGCGATGGAGGTGCTACATATAGCGTTTGTTTCCCCTTTTCAAAGAATACTTCACCTGTGTATCATGGAATGCACTGCTTGTGCATGAATGAATAATGATTACATAACTTTCATGAGCACGTATCCAGTATTTCGTCTCCGTGTATTTCCAATTTGTTCTGCAATAATTAACCTTTATCTGCTCATTCTCAGACTGCAACCGTGAACCCCGTGAACTGGCTTATTAGTCTGTCAAAGTGTCAGTTTGTTAAACGCGATACATGAAGACCCAGGGTCGTGCTAATCTGAATAGTAGAAAACGGACATTACAATATACGTTCTTAGAACTGTTTAGATCTTTTCTGTTTGCCATTCTCATGACTGACCATTGCACTCTTTTGTTTTACTTTTTGTCAGGAGAAAAGTTTCTAAAACCGTGTCAAGATGTCAGGCCATGCAGATCGTTCGGTCAAATGTTCCCGATAACGGCATCGTCTTCGAGTCCACACTCCAAAATGTCAGAGAGAGAAACCAATCCGACTGCGTACCCCTCTACGACAGCTGTGCCATTGTTGGCAACTCCGGCATCCTCTTGGATAGCGAGTGCGGCGACGTCATCGATTCCGCTGATTACGTTATAAGGAACAATATGGCGATCACTGACGAGCGCTTCGTGAAGGATGTTGGGATGCGCATTGATGCCATGACCATCAACCTTCAACTGATTTACTCATTGACAATATGCACGAATGTCCACAAGGGCGGGAAGTTGCCACCGAGAACGACATGTGAATCTTTGATGGAGAGAATGAAGATATTTCAGGAGGGCCGGCTCTTTTGGTTTTTCAAACGATATACCAAACTCTTTCATGAAATGAAAGCGATGTTGACGGCGCTCCGAAAGAAATACAAGCTGAATTTTAGAGTGGGCTACAGTCCCATTATACCGATGGATACAGCAAAATCGTGAGTCTTCGTCACAGATTTCTTTTCTTTTTACTTTCGCCATATCTACGTATAAGACAAAAAGAGAGGTATTACATACATGAATCAACATGTTTGTATGTGTGTGTATTATTACATAAAATCCTTCGATGCCAAATTTTGTGGGTTTTCCCATAAACTCATTTTGTTGGCGGTGTTTTTCGCTGTATGTGATTTGCAGCAAAACTGAGTGATCATTTTGATAATTCCAAAATGAAAATCCAAACAAAAATTGATACATATTTACACAATCCATAACCAACCATTCCCAATAACTTCCATACATTTTCTTTCTCAACGGAATTCCACGACCAGTACTCATTTGACAAACCTGCCCAAACCCTGCGTATTTGAGAGTCTTAATGAAGAAATATCCCCTTCTCCCTTTTTCTTTGTACAGATTAGCGAAAGTTCCCGTCCCTTCATCGGGCCTCGCAGTATACATTGCAGCAACTCAATTTTGCAAAAGCGTAAACCTGTTTGGATTTTATCCCTTCAATGACCGTGGAAAAGAGAACAACACAGTCATGGCTCATTATTATGATGATGAGGTGTTCCCCTTCAGTAAAAATCATAAAATGCCCAAGGAATATGCATGGTTGGAGGACCTGGACAGAAGAGGTGCACTTCGAATGATCAACGACTGTACATCACTTAGGAAGTAATATTGTGGTTTCATTTTTTAGAGTAATACTTCTGGCATATATGCCTTTAAGTTTTAAGTTAACGGCTGACTGACTGACTGGAAGAATACACGAATATATAGATAAATGAAAGAATGTATTTATTTTCTATTTATATTTTTATTAACGGGGTAGCCCATTCAACATCAGTTGGTCTCCTACGAGTAAAAACAATTATACAATCATATCAGTCAAAATAAAGATAGCAAGTCTCAATTTTCTTTAAATATACAATTGAAATTCACATAATTAAATATCAAAAATTAAGTTACATTTTCTTGGCAATTCAACATTTTTCTGAAGGTAGTTTTGGATGAGTCAAGTGGGTTTGTTGTTCTTACTTTAAGCGGTAAATTATTCCATAATAAAGGGCCTTCGTTTTTTGATACCCGTCTGACAGATTATTTTGTATTCTTATTATATACTTCAGTTAATTTATGAAAGAAATTGAAATGATAACCAGCTGATAAACCTTTAATACATTTAATGATAAATACACATCGAAAATATTTTTCAGGGGTATACAGATTACAATTGAAAATAATTCTATAGTGAGCACTAATTTGTTCATCTTGTAGGCTGTCTGTAAAGTGTTCCGTCAAGCAGAAATTGAATATTCGGTGAATGCTGTGTACTTCCTTAATTCTGAAAATCCAAAGAGTAAATATGTCGATACTTTTTAGATACCGTATTACAAAAGCAAGCAATACGTGTGTGTACTAATTTGTCCTACTTTGACCACTCCAATCCATTGTTTTGAAACCTAAACATCATACAAGTTGATGACATTGATATCATACAAATCGCATGTACAGCTTACTAAAAAGTCAACTACCGCCACCCTCCCTCATTGTTCAATTTGAATAAAGGTGTACACTCTTATCACATTCCACCTAAAAACAATCTCGAAAATATTAATGACTCGTAATTCACTCATCATTTTGTATACATGGCCAAATGTTCATTTATCGGATGTCGTGGCGTTATTAGGTCTAAAAACATGCATCTTATTATAACGACATGTATTACTATTGTTGTATATAGAAAACCAGCGTTCTTTCCCCTTTTTACTATTTAACTATTGATACATGTGACTGGTTTCTACCAAATGCCTGTATAAATGTGTGTAAGCTGGACAAGTATAAGGTATTTTTGCTCATTATATGTCCTATACGATATCCTACGTTATGTAGAGGTGTCGGAGTCGAGTGGTTTAAGCACTTGACTTGAAATGCAAAGGTCGTGGGTCCGATCCCCGACACGACACTTGTGTATTTTGACACGGCATTGGTCTATATCTAATCCAGGTATGACAGGTATTATGACCAAAGAAAGCCTTTGTGTTATTAATTGCCATATGCAAGTTCCGACCGTATGGTGGCAATATGCCCCAGTGAGTGGAGATGGTGCACATTCGTGAATGGAATAAAGTCAGCAAAGCGCTTAGATACGTCATTTTCTATTAAGCGCTATATAAAACCCAGTTTATTATTATAGTGTATTGTGAATATAAAATTATAATCATGTTGTCATTTTAATTGATATTTCATTTGATCCGAACTGCACTTCGATTTGCAAATTTATACAGTCATCAGATCCACAAACAATATATTTTGTTCACGTGGTCTGCATGCATAAAGGTACGAGACAAAATGGCTTAAACTTAAATTTTTGAATTATTCGTTTATTTATTCGTAGCAACCAAATGGTCGGATTGCCTATGTAAATACACATAAGATCGTCAAATTCTTATAGTTGATTATAATGATAACAGTAATATTTATAATGAAAAAGATAATGATAATGATAATAATGGTTATAACAATTTAGGATTTCTCGTCCATTTTAACATTTTTCACATTCATCAATGTGCCACCTGTCAATCAAGTTGGTATAATTCAATTTCGTTAGACTTCATTCACATGCGTCTCGCTAACAGTCCTTTGCATAATGTGTTAATCAAAGTCACCTTCGTGCAATCAATATCAAGAGAGTTTCATTCAAATTCGTCGCATATATAGACTTGTCGAACGAATGACGAATTTTAATGACGCTTCGATGAAATCGATTGCAAAATGACAAAATAGATTAATGCAATTTTACATTGACAAACGGGGATAACGAACTTGATTTGACATTGAAGAAATTGGATGCAAAACGACGAAATTTATCGGACAGAGTTCGAAAATGAATGACCAAAGAGGAAATTGATAATGAGAGGATCGGAAGTTTCGGGACGAAATTGAATGAAGAAAAAGAGTTGAAATGGACGGGAAAACCTACAGATAGGTTTTGAAACAAATGCGTTATTCATCTAAAACAGCATTTTCTTCACTGTCTGCAACTAATTTGTTGTTGTTAATCCAATCCAATCAAAAGTTATAAGTTTAAAGCGCTTTTTCCTTGCCGTTATAAAGCAACGTACTCATTACTCCACACGTATTGGGCCTTTTAACAATAACAAGTCGATTAAAAAAGAAATCCATTATAAACATTCGTACTTATAGTCGAAAGTACTAGGAAGGCAGCATACAAACGGTCGTTGCACTGATGCCGTTACATGAATTTGAGAAAAACTTTTCATTTCCATTATCCTTTTTGACGGCGAGGCATCCTTGGCCATTTAAGTGGGTAACATCTCTCCAGTCTGTTGGGGAAGAGAAATACAGAATCGAAATATTGATGGTGACGATAATAATAATGATGATTATGATGATGATATATTAATGATAATGTAGAGGTGTTGTGGTCTAGTGGATAAGTCGTTGCACTATGGATCACAGGGTTATCTGTTCGAGTCCGCGGTACGGCACTAATGTCCTTTGGCAAGATATTAATCTACATTTGCCACTCTCCACCCAGGTGTTAAATGGGTACCGGTAGGAATGAATTCCTTGAATACTGTGAGCGACAAAATCGGCTGCTTAGCAGAGCCGGGGAATTAGTTGAAGCGCCTTGAGCACCATGCATGGTGGATATGTGCGCTATATAAATATCCAATATTATTGTAAAGGGTTAGGAAATTATACCCTGTGACCTGTAGAGGGCGGAGTGCTAAGACAAGCCGGCACTCTTTGCTTGGCCCTCTCACAGGTGAGTTGACCAAACTTGAACCACTGTTATGTTTAGTAAATATTAATATTGTTATGCTAGAGATTTGTTATGTACATATGTGTATTGTGTCAGAACGATTTCAGTAGTTATTTTGATGTATCATGTGGGTTGATATGATTATATTGGAGACGAGGATTTAATGTTAAACTGTGTGATGCTTTAAGCGCTTTGATTTGTTATATGCATTTACATTGTAGTACATGGTTATGTAATAAGTTGAACGCGCGGTACCAAAATTGGGTGTAGTGCGTGCGCGCTAATGTTGTGCCTGGTCCCAGGGCCAGGACCAGGGGGGTGTTTCACAAAGATCCTAAGTTGAACTTATCTCTAAGTTGGACTTAAAAATTATGGAAAGCCATTAGCATCTTTGAAAATATTTTGTAAAAGTTATTTTGAAAGGCATTAATTGTTTATTCAAATCATTCATATTGTCTATCATCTAGGAGATTTCATGTTCTGGATGTGGAATTTATAAAACAGTCTGAAATACTTGAATTTCTGCTTTTGAATATATTTCATTTTAAGGCTCCAATGGCTGTCCATAATTTTTAAGTCCAACTTAGAGTTAAGTTCTACTTAGGATCTTTGTGAAACACCCCCCAGGACCAGGGTACGCTCTAATTGATGTGATGAGTATAAGTCTTGGTTTAGGAATGAGGTCAGTAAGAACGGTAGGGAGCATAGAAAAGAAGTGCTTATAATAGAAGTTGAGTGTTTAAAAGTATTGCATGTCGTTTGTATTTTGGTTGCTAAGCTAGGGGATATTAATTATGGCACTTCAAACAGTGATGATCGAACTTTGTCTGACTATGTAGCCATTCGAGGGTTTCTAGCGCCCTCTATCGTTGTAAACCTTATTTCTTATTTTGCAGATTGCTATAAAAGAATATTGTAACATGTTAAAGGGGAAGTCCACCCTGAAATTAAGTTAGTTTTAATAAGAGTAGAAAAATGAGAGAAACAAGTCAGTGAAAGTTTGAGCAAATTCCGATTAAAAATAAGGAAGTTAGGATTTTTGAAGTTGTGATCAATCAAACACATATTGGCAACTCTATGACGTATCATGCGAGCTCAACTTTCATTTGCTCAGTACTAAAAAAATCTAAAATTTTCATTTTCCCTCAAGAAAAATTTCAACCATACATGCACCCTAAATATAATAATTGCAAATATGTTTCTATACTCCCCCTGCAAGGAACAAATATATATTCCGTCATCAATAACGAAGAAAACATGATTTTATGGAATATTATGCACAAAGCAAATGAAGGAGAGCTCGTATAATAAGTCACAGAGTTGCCAATTTGTATTTGATTGATCACAACTTCAATAATTCATAACTTTCTTATTTTCATTCAGAATTTGCTCAAACTTTCACTCACCTGATTTTCTTATTATTCTGCCTCTATCGAAACAAACTTATTTTGGGGTGGACTTTCCCTTTAAATTGAGATGGAATAATAGGAGTAAGAGCAATGTTTAGGGTTAGACCAGGAGATTATTGGAGTTTGTTTGGAAGTAAGAAAAGTATGGAAGATAAATATATGAATGTGTTGCTCTATATGAGGTTTATATTGACTGTTACTTCTAGTTGCTTAAGTATTTGGGTCAGGTATTTACCTGTGTTAATGTTGAGAGTTTCAGCTACATTGTACTGTGGCAATTGGTTTTTAAAGGGCAAATTTACTCGTTTAATATTTGATAACATGACATGTTTTGGGGAATGCATGATCTCCATGATTATCGGCATTAGTGATATGTAATGTGTCTGTTACTGGTTACTACTAATAAAGACTCTTTGCTTGGCCCTCTCACAGGATCTGTCTGTCATTGATTTCGAGTTCTCGACCACCTCACATTATTATTATTAATATTAATAATTATGATAATGAGTATATAGATTGAAAACAAATTATTACAATGAAAGAGATCATGATAATATCTCTACGTATTACGGAGGTGTCGAGGTCCTTTGGCAGAATATTATTCGATATTCGCCACTACCCGCCCAGGTGTAAATTGGTACCTAATCAATGCTAAAGTAATAATAACTGCAGGTATATTGCAGGGCTCGCATGAAGAGCAGTATTGATACCATTATTTGATTTTCCTTGTCATTTTGTGATATTTATTTATGTTAAGTCACATGGATTGGAAAAGAAGACCTTCGGGTTATAGTTATTTAGTTAATCATCCCTCCCGGCTCGTTGACTCGTTTCAAATCTGACTGCTGTTTTGTATTCACCGTTTTTTAAACTTTTCTTTGCCGCATACTACTACTACTACTACTACTACTACTACTACTACTACTATTAATATAGGTTTTCCCGCCCAACTTCGTAAACTTAGCATCCGTATTTACGTTACGTTCATTCAAGTTCGTGCGAAATTGAATGACTATGTAGATCAACATTCAAAAAGCTAATTGCGTCATTCAATTTGATTTAGTAGCAAGCGATTTCATACACTTGTCACGGAGACGTGCAAAACGAGCATTCAATTTAGAAAAGCGTGCAAAGAGCATTCAAATTCGCGACGGACAGACGGTGGTATGTCTTCATGCATTCAATTTCGTGATTAGGCATACTTATGTGACATTTGTGCATTGCTTTTCATTTGATGTTAATTTGTCACTTAATATAATTCTGTTTGAATAGTTTTATGCAAAGTTTACTTGGAGGAATGACATGCGTATTCGTTCTGTCATTGCACAGGTAACTGTCCCCAGAGAAGGTGCACAATTTGTGACTTCTCTTCTAAGCACAAGCTATATATAAACAGATCTTGTAGTATAGGTAGAGTTCAGGTTTAATATAGGTTTTCCCGCCCAACTTCGTAAACTTAGCATCCGAATTAACGTTACGTTCATTCAAGTTCGTGCGAAATTGAATGACTATGTAGATCAACATTCAAAAAGCTAATTGCGTCGTTCAATTTGATTTAGTAGCATGCGATTTCATACTCTTGTCACGGAGAAGTGCAAAACGAGCATTCAATTTCGAAAAGCGTGCAAAGAGCATTCAAATTCGCGCCGGACAGACGGTGGTATGTATTCGAGCATTCAATTTCGTGATTAGGCATCCATATGTGACATTTGTGCATTGCTTTTCATTTGATGTTAATTTGTCACTTAATATACTTCTGTTTGAATAATTTAATGCTAAGTTTACTTGTAGGAATGATTATGCGTATTCGTTAGCAGATATCTGTCATGACACAGGTAACTGTCCCAGAGAAGGCGCACAATTTGTGACTTCTCCAAGTTCTTCTTGTAAGAACAAGCTATATAATTATACACAGATCCTGGACAGCGGTAGAGTTGAGCTTTAGACATGGCCATGATGGAAACATAATACAATGATGAATAAAGAAAAATATGTGAAATGAAAAGAAAGAAAGATTACCCACTCAATCCAGATTGATACAAAAAAAAAACATTTTAAAAATAACTTCATTTATAATGAAATATATGAAGACATGACTGTATAAAGAAATGTTTCATCAAAAATAAAGATCGACAGAAAGAGAAAATATTGAATGCAATATAAATATATCAGACAAATAAGAAGATTGTATAATGTGAAATCATGTCAGAAAAGATCATAGAGTAAAATAATAAACAAATGAACATAATAAAGTGAATATCCGGATAAACATCGAGCCTCATACAATAATTATGAGGTCTAGTTTTAATTTGAATGACCCGATTGCGAAAGAGGTTGCCCATAGACGAAAATGAAACCGCAATTCGACAAAGAATTGTCCTCCCACTCAACTTTGGCGAAATCGAATGACGCTAACGCATTTCCAAATTGACTGAACCAAACGTTAATTTGAATGTGCTTGTTTCGAAAATTCGGTGACTCGAAACGAAATTGAATGCAAAAAGTTTAAAAATTAAACAGGGAAGCAACGAGTGGAGAAAATTTGCTCGAACATGAATGCACGTTAGTGAAATTGATCGCTGCTTTGACGAAATTGGCCGGGAAAACCTATAGTCATGGACATGATGGAAACAAAATACAATGATGAATAAAGAAAAGAAAGAAAGATCACCTACTCAATCAAGATTGATCAAAACAAACTATTTAAAAAATAACCCCTAAGGCAGTTATAATGAAAAA